GAAGCATGTAGCTGTATATATTTATTAAATGAATTGATCATCTAGCTAACTATATTTAATAAGATACTAAGTCACATGTAATGATGAGTCTAGACATATATGTCATAGACATAATATCATTAAGTAGTTGATCTCATATGGTGTAAATTCGTGGATCCACTAAGAAAAGATTTATCGAGAGATCAAAAATACAGCATACTGAGGGAAACATGTTTAAAGCTTACTATGTAAGGATCTTTATAATGGTAACCTAACCTTGTTGACTAGAAATTCCAAGATCTTGATTTTATGGGACAACTAAGTTATGAAGATTTATTGAGCACTTGGGATTTAATTCCTAGCAATTCTCATGATAAGAAAAGTTCTATCTGCAGAGAGTTTTAGGTTAAGTTATACTTTTAATGATTCCTATATCTTGGACGAACTAAGTAGGGTATGGCAAGTACTCTTAATCGGAGATCACCTATATAAGTGTGAAGTGGAATAGCTTCTATGAGAATGTTTCAGAGCTTGAATTCTCTAAAGAACTAATGAAATTCAAGAGTTGTTCAAGGTCAAAATGAACACAACAGTGAGAACTCGAAAATTTTAGGGAGGTTATTGTGTGAGTATTATTGTTTTGGCTTACATCAACGACTGACGGTTCAAGATACCGCATTCAGTGATTAGCTAAGTAAATTCGATAGTATTTCACTATGGAAGGTTCACACCCATAAGGTACCTATCCAGATGTAATGGCTTTCTGCTTGATCTCTCTTTAGCATCTGCATTAGTCATTTGTATTAATTTTCATTCATGTGAGAGATTGTTGAAAATTTGTATATGAAATTGATTTGACCAATTCTTAATTATTTAAGAGGAAGTTGTTATCCGATGAATATAAAATTAAGCCAAATTTAAATCACTTAAATACGTGAATTATTGAAAAATTACTTAGAATATTATGAAATATTCTATAACTTTTTTGGCTGAAAAGGTGTGTTTTTCCTTATGAAAAATTGTGAAATTTAACATTATTATTTTCTAAGAGATGTGTCTCTTCAAATACAAAGACTAATTTCAATAGTTGTATCTCTTCCATAGATTGTCATTTGAGACAAATATTTTCAACATCTATATATAAGCCTCATATGTTTGTTTTCATTCATTCATTTCATAATTACATTATCATACTAATGCATATTCACTTCAAAATTATGCATTTATTTGAAGTCACCTTCATAAAGAGGGTTCAAACATAAGTAGGTTCGTTATTCTAAGTAATTTGGAGTGCTCTTATTACAAGACGTGGTCGATGTATTTTGGGAGACGAATGCTGAAAAATCGTTAGCACCAGTGTGGGGCATTATCGTTTTAAGGAGAAAGAGTCGAACTCTTGCCTTGACCAAATTTATATTCATGCATTTTTCGTATCTACTTTACGTATTCGATTTTGGTAAGTAAAAATACTTTCTAATTTTATGCACATAAAATGTATGTTATTTGAATATAATTTATGCACATCTATTTTTCCAACATAAACAACACATTTCATTCTAATAACAACTTTTATTCACTTTTTAAGCACATATTTCATAAAACTCACCTACTTAATTTTATAAACTTTATTTGTTAAAAATAGACATCAAATATGCAATTATAAGCATAATTCTCACGCAACTATAATATAAGTGACCTAATTATACTGCAAATCCTTGACCTAATGGCATTCCAAATCCTTTTCCTTATATAATAATGCCTACTTAGTCCTTTTCTTCAATTTGTGATTACAATAACATTAAACCTAATATTATATGGTCACTTTCAGTGGTGGATCCAGCACCTGATGAGAGGGTGTAACTGCATATGTTGGATCCATCGGAGTCGTTGTAGAAAACTTAAAGACGCAAAGTCCGTTTTGCACGGATTAAAATTTGATTTTAATTTAAATCAAAATCAAATAATCAGTATTAACCACATATTTTATGGATTCCACAATTTTTTAATCATACATTTCAAAAACTTCTATCAAAATCTACTGAAAAATTTAATTTTAATCTCCATCTAAACACCCTCACAGTCACACTCATGTAGGTGTTAAGGACGGAGGTAAGGAGGTTGACGATGAAAGCAATTGGGTTGGAATTTTTATTTGTTTATTTTTTCATTTTTTTAATTGTGGGCTTCGTTGGAATTGGGCCTCTTGTTTCTATTTTTTTTTAAAAAAAAGGCCCAATCTAAATAACTAATATGGGATCAGTTTGTATTGAATTAGAAACTGCACCCTAAATTTCAATTGCAATTCTAGACGAAACCGGCAGTGCAAACCCTATCTCTATGCTCAGTAGATGGGGGCCACTTGCAAGAGAGCTAAATCGGGTGAATAATATAGCATTTCCGATGATAGTTGTGACAATTTCTCAGTTTATGTTGCGGGTTGTAGAGTTGATGATGTTGAGGCGTCTTGGGGAACTTGAACTATCCAGGGCCTCAATTGCTACTTCTTTTACAAATGTTACTGGATTCAGTGTCATTGTAAGATCCTTTTTCTTGTCTCAACTTTTGATTCTGGCAATGATTGCTACAATTCATACGTTTGAATAGTTTTGTGATTTCTAATAAAATTTTAAGAATAGATTCAAATCCACTAGCAGCAATTATGTTTTTCAGGTATAGTGCGAGTTTTCAATATTGAAATTTGGTGTTTAGGGATACCGCAAGTTTTAGTTTTACTCTACATGGAATGTTGGTCTGCTAATTAAATTACATTGATTAAAAGCTCTTAATTTCTATTCTTCAATACTTTTTGTGTTCAGGATTTGACAAGAGCACTTTGTTTGCTATATAAACTATTAAATCACCGGTCCACTTGTAGATTTCTTCAGAAACCAAAGAAAAATCTAACTAGAATCTCTGTTTTCTGGCCACCATTATACTAAATTATGGAGCGATTTTTTCAATCGAAACGAAAATCATAACCAAGTTCTGATGTTGCATTTGTTAAATAATGCAAAGATTATTTTCATATGTATATGATTTTACGTAAACGGTCAACAACCGCCCTATCTGATCTATGATCCTGGATCTGCCACTGGTCACTTTCCTTTTCACTGCCAAAATAAAGAATTCTATTTTTCCATTCCATAATATAACTCTTTCGTTTCATAAATTTAGGTCAAGCCGAACAAATGTGAAAATTATATTCACTTACGACTATAATTTTATAATGTTGACACATACCAATTTGTCTCATTGAAAATCGTCCCCTAAAAAATTCTTTATTTATGTTGAATACTCAATATGCCCACGAACCCAAATTAGCCCTTGTTTGAGCCCCATTTTTAAAAATGTATTTTAGAATAAGGATTTTTGGAAGAATATGCGTTAAATAATAAGAATTTTTTTTGATTTATATGTAAAATTATTTTATAGAAGAACGTATGATTGATAATGAATTTTGAAGAAATAAATTTTTAGAAAAATGGAGCCCAAACATAGGCTAAGAAAGACACTGTCATTAATATCATGGAGAATGACTAAAAAGGGTAATGTAAATGCTGCCATAGAATTGTTTTAACGTGCTGGAGCCTGATATATACCAGAATTCATGAAAACTTTGAACTAACATAGGAAAACAAATATATGGATAAGTTAATTAAACTCGCAAGTACTAAATTAACAACTTTAATTTTGCATATATACCATATATTATAGCACACCTAATTTCATCAAAATGCATATAGCATCATGGGCAGTCAGCCTTGGACTTTTCAAGACTGACTGCTCATGATGTTATAATCATTTTTATGAAATAAACTTGTGTGCACCATAATTTATTATTTATCGAAAATTTCCTCCAAGTGCAGAAGGAGTCCAATAATCTGCTCCATTAAAGTCACTCCCAACATTAAGAGTGCAGGATAAGGGAACTAGGCACAACCCTCTACTCCTCAAGTCCTTCTTTGGCTCTTCATGACAATCCTAGCAAAAATGTCCACAAATATTAATTGGATACTATCAATATTATTACGTGAATAATTGGTATACTGGACTGGACTGGATTAGACAGAATCATCAACAAGATTTTTTTATTATTATTTTGGTACCTGCTCAGATGTTCCTTTCATCTTTATGCAATTTTCATTCAACAGCTACAAAAGAGATAGTCAAAAGCATATCAGAATTAGTCATTTTTCCTTGTTATATTTTTAGGGTTAAAGTTTTGCTGGGCTGAAAATGTGGTTCTTTCTTCATTTTTTTTTCCCTTTATGTGGAAAAGAGAGACAATAAATCCATTACTTAAAGAAGAAAAGGAGCAACTTTCCTAAATTCTTTTGAGATGGTAATGGATTCAATAAAGCATACCTGCCCTGGGTCTTCAGGAAATAAACAATTCCTTTCTCCTTGAAACTGAAAATAATTAATTCTCATTAATCAATAAAGCATACTAATCTAGAATTATATTCATTAGCACATGCATTCTAGAGATAGAGAGAGAGAGAGAGAGAGAGAGAGAGAGAGAGAGAGAGAGAGAGAGAATGTTTGTTACATGGTACTGCTGCCTCAGGTTTCCTGATTTACTATCCAAGTACGGCAAGCTTAGGGCCTGCATTCAAGGGGGAAAGAGAATATAAGGAACATTCAACTGTGGTCGATGTGCCACCAAATATTCGTGGGAGTTAGCAGAATTGCATGAGGATATTAAGAAGCGTCACCTCAATTTGGCTCTGAAGGAATCTAATGTATCCAATTGCTTCTAACAACACAGAGGCTGTGTCAGTCTGCAGAATAATAAACAAATTAGAATACCTCAAATATTAAAAAAAAAAAGGTTGAACCCCAACCTTAAGAGCCCTCACCGATCCTGCCCTGGGCCATCGTGGAGGAGGTAAATCGCAGGATATACCTCTCAGGAGCCAGGGTGGAGAACACATGGATAGGCCAAGGTTGTTAACCCATATGGTAACTCCCGCTTGCAACAAAGCCAATTCCACCTTGCGAGGAATCGAACTCTGCACACTGCCGCGCTGAGCCCTATCCGCCCTCCCCTTTGCCACTGGGAGATATGCCCTGGGGGCAGAATACCTCAAATATTAATATCATGTTTTGTCTATCTACTTTTAACCTCAAGAAGGGATGTTAAGCTCCCTTCTCATAATTATTATTTGAAAACATTTTTTCTACGTATTTATTTTCAACCACATATTTACACAATAAAATATTCTACACGTAAATCTAAAATTTTTCTCTACTTTTTAATCACATATTCTCCTAAATAGCACTGTTGAAAATACATATTATCTTTTTTTCAAATAATGGCCATCAAAGGCTAAATTGTTTTTCTTCATTAATCACGTCAGTATTATCAAATACTATTTAATATTTCAAACACTGGGATATATCATGGAAGAAGGACTTATCTTGGAGTAAACCTAAATCCCTATTTGATAGCCTTTTACTTTTATTTTTATTTATTTATTTATTTTTATTATTATTTTTTTTTTGTAAAAAATGAGTTTTTGAACAGTAATTTTTAAAAAATGTGTAGTTAAAAAGTAAGAAAATTTTCTTTATTTTTTTATTTACATAATGAATATTTTATTGTGAAGAAAAAAAAGAGTTTTAAAAGAATGGTTACTGAACATGGGCTAGAAATAAAATGATAAAGAAAGAAGGAGAAGAGATCTATCTACTTTGCAAGGAACCTTTTTTAGTGTTTCTTTGTAGAATGGTATAAAAACATTATTTCATAATTATGCCCGAGTTCTTGTTATTGATTAGCGCATGTAATTAATTTCCAAGTATTTACCTTGCCAAATGGAGAAACTAACTGGTGAAGGGCTGTTATTCTGTCTCCCAATTTCTCTTTTCTCACCTGCGTTTAAAAGTACAGTACCCATAAAGTGGATCAATTGACATCCTGTTCAAAGTAATTATTTCACTTCATATTTGAAGACTTATTTGTATTTACAGTTTTGCTTGGCGCACAGGTAGGGATTCACACCGACACTTCACATGGGGGAGGGAGAGTGAGTGAGTTAATTTTTGGGCATTGTTTATTCATGGGGCCAGGCCTTTGTGAGTTTCCTGTAAAAATTTGTATTTCTCTTCTGTGGACTATACAAGAGATAGCAAAAGAATCAACATGTCTCAAGAAAGGGACAACCAAAAGAGACGACAATAATATTCCAAAATTGAAAAGTTCAGAAAAAAATACTGACTTAGAGGTTGTTCGACAAAGTTCTTTATAAAAGTCTTAATAGATTTTTAAAAAAGTTGATAAAAGTTGTTGATCCAATGAAATATGTGCATAAAATTAAGTGTTTAATTTGACATCAACTTCTTATTAATTTTTAAAACTTTCCAAACAAGCACTTAGTGAAGATACAAGTAGATACATAGACCTAGTTGATCATGCATCTATCTAGCTAGATGAATTTTTTATTAGGATGGTAGAACATTCTTTGACTCTGTTAACATAAATCTTCACATCTCTCTTTTATTTGTAATGGCGGACATGTGAATAATTTATGGGTGGTGACAAGACTTAAATTTAAATTTTGAACTAATATAAATTATTAGAGAGGAGACTAATCAAGTATTCAAAATCCCAGTAAAAACGTGCTAAACCTACAGCTTATAAATTGATATACTTCGTCTCCTCAAATTTTGTATAAAATTAATAACAGTTTATACTACTGTTTCCACTTCCCACAAACTGATATGAGAGCACTAAAGATCCAGAAGCCACAAGAAGAATTATCAGATAATAGAAATTAAAGTTCACATTGCATAAGCCACAACTCTAATAAAAGATAGCAGTTGCCTAACCTAGAAACCCAAAAAAAATGGTTGAGATTCGACAATTTAAAATCCAAAATGGAGAGAAAATTTTATAAAAAGTATACACAAAGAACTCATATAAGACAAGAACGAAAAGAAAAGAAAAAAAAGGAATAAAAAAGCTTCAAAAGTGATGCCCGATTATATAGAATAAGGGGAAATATATTATCTTCTCAGATTATCGATTTAAATCTACAATTTAGTATTAAAATTTCCATCTTCCTACAAGGGAGGGGAATCAAGAAGATGAATATTCATAAGAGATATAGGATGATAATTTATTTAAACTTTTTAAATTATACCTTGAATGTGGACTGGACCGAAGACGGTTGAATTCTGGCCTTCTTGGCTACCCCACCCGTGGCTGTGCTGTTGCACTTCAAAAAAGCAAAGATGATAAAACTCATCAAACCCACCTTTCAAATATGTAACTAAGCACCACTAATGTTCTTCGAGAAGATTAGACATTTATAATTTCAGTGTCTTCTCACAAATCACAGAACCCTAAAAAAATTTCGATTTTTTTTTGGGTACATACATCAGACAAACGATCTGCCTGTGGATGCTTCAGATCTGGATTGTTAGAAAAATCCAACATGTTATTTCTCATAGCCGTAACACATGACTTCGGAGATAAATCTGCAGGAATCATTTGAGACCAAGGAGTAGGTTTTGAAGCTTGAAACCCCAAATTTCCAAGCCCAAAAAAATTATCACTTTTTGAGCTTAATTCTTGTTTTACATCAACACTTGCAGAGCCATTGGAAGTCGGGTCATTCAGCAGTTGTTCTATGTATTCAACCTTCTTCGCCTGCAAAGGGCTCAAACTAGGATTCTCTTCTTCACCAACCAACCCCCCTCTGCACCACCAAAAGCACAAAAATTATATTTAATAAATAATTAATTATATAAATATGATGATTTCTTGAACCATACATGATGCTCCATTAAGTAAGAAGGAAATATAAGTCTATGATATTATGAACAAGAAAAATGAAAATCTTAATCTTTTTGGGTGCATGAAATGGAAATTATATACATGTATTGAACACCCATGTGCCACGTGTACGGCACACATCCAACCACAAGAGGCACAAAAGCGTGAAACCAGAAAACGCGAGAATATGTTAAGAATTTTGGACCTCCTCCTACTTTCAATTAGTAGGGCCCAATTAAAAAGAAACAGTGAGGCAGCCCATCCTTTTAACAATTTTCATTCATTTGGACGTATGTTTTACCGTTAAATAAAAAGATTAATGAAATTTTTTTTTTTTAAGTGTATCATTCAATTTTAGTGATTTTGGGCAGTATTGGCCTAATTTCCTCTAGTTTTATAGGCCTTCTTACACAAGCATAACCAAAACAGGATCATTTCGATCCATTCGTAATTAAACTGTGAAGGATACTTAAAAAAAAAAAAAAAGAAAAAAAAAAGAGGAAAATTATAGCCACAATACCTAACCTTTTACTTTTATGCAGACTTGACCCAAATCTTTAATTTGTGGCATCAATGGTAACAAACCTTTCAAAAACTCTCACTTGAAGTCCAAATGGATGATTTTTGTTAATTTAACTGTTATTTGACAAGAGAATTAACATTAACCATAATTTTGATTAATTTTAAAAGGTTGAAATTATAACTTTATATTTTTTTTAACAAAAAAAACACAATTATAATATATTAATAATTAAATTAAAAATCAAAACATAAATAAAAAAACCACCACCACATTCTTCTCTTCTTCCTCAATCCCTAACCCCAAAACCACTTCCAACATTAGCGGCTGACGACATCGGACCAATCCAACGTCGATGTCTATAAAAAAGCTGCAACAGCCACTGTACAACAAACTCCCACCCATCAACAAGAGATTGAACCTACTAAAACACCAAATCCCACCCATTAACTGCCATCCACAGTGAAAGAGATTGAAATACCATCGAAATAACCACACCAAGAACCCACTAACACCACCACCACTACAATCCCACGACAAGATCCCACTTACACCACCACCTATTGAAGAAGAAGAGGAAAATAACTGGGCAGATTCAGGTATGGTGAGCGCGCGAAATGCTCGCAGGAGAAGACTAGAAATTTATATCGTGCCATCCCCAATCAGCCACTGACCGTCTCAACCTCCAACTACTCCACCACCTCAAAACCAAGCACCACCACTTCATCTAAGCAGAAATCTCAAATCCAACCAATAATCAAATTGAACCTCTTAAAATCTAAATCCAAAAACCTTTTGAGTCGGTAGTATTGATTTTGAGGATATGTTCAATGATGATGACGATTTTGTAGTATTCACTCTAGTTCTTGTAACGCCATCACGAACACTACCTTAGCTTTACAATTTGGACATTGATCGTAACACAATTAACATCTCCTTCTGAGGTGGCAGTGCCTGATTTCGAGGTGGTGGTGGGGCTGGAAGTTGAGGCGGTTGTGCTGACTATGGCGATGGAAGGTGGCAGTGGTTTTTGGATTTGGTTTTGGGGGTCGGGGAAGTGGGGGAGAGTGGTGGGTGGTTTATGTTTTGACTTTTGTTTTTTTTTAGTTTAATTACTAATATATTATAATTGTGTTTTTTGTTGAAAAAATGTCAAATTATAATCCAAACATTTTAAGATTAGTCAAAATTATGGTCAATGTCAATTCTCTGGTCAAATAATGATCAAATCAACGGAAGTTATCCAATTGGACTTCAAGTGAGAGTTTTTGAAAGGTATGGTACTGTGGGTGCACAAATTAAAGATTTGGGTCAAGTCTATATAAAAGTAAAAGATTTGATACTGTGGTTACAATTTTCCGAAAAAAAAAAAAAAGAAGGCCTTTTAACTTTAGGTTCACCATGTTCTCTTGCTCTTGCTAGTGACAAGTTAGCATGCTGCGGTACAAATATCTATTACCTTTACTAAAAATGAAAATATTCATCTTACTTATCCCTGTTTGACTCTCTTTAAATTAATTTTTTTTTTATTTTTCATACTCATTTTTTACCACATAAATTTAAAATTTTTTCCTACTTATCCAAACAATCTTCGAAAAATTACTATTCAAAACATTATTTTCTTCTAATTTCTCATTATAATGACCATCAAATAGGGACTCAATTTATTTCTTTTTCACCCGTAGTCCATCCCTTCACGTCGGTGCCCCCTTATTCTTGCTCCCGCTGCTTCCTCCTCATCTCTACTTCGTTCTCCTTCCACTGTCATCCATCACCCCTCCACCTCCCCTTGAAAGGCTCTCGAGCTCCGAAGGAGCCGGAACGTCGCAAGGGTGCATGGAGGTAGAGGGGGACAACAAACAATGCAAAAAGGGGAACTTTTGAAATAAAGAGAATAAATTGTAAAGAGGCAGGGATAGGATAGGGCTTAAGGAAGTAGAGGAGACATAGTTGTGAATAAGAAGTTTTAGTTTAATTGCACAATTTAATAAAATAAGAACTCTAAAGTAATTAATTTGAACTGCGAATCTGATTTCTTCTTTATGCTACCATACCTCAAGTAGTAATTTGATATGAATTAAGAGTTACAATCAATAACAAAAGAGGCAAAACATAAAAATAGGCTGGTTGGTATACGCAAAATATGATGCACATTATCGGTTACCATTTTCGTCAATGTTTGGTGGGTAAATAAATGCAACATGCTACTTGTGTGTAATGTAGGTGCAATTGCTATAGTTTGTCAATGATAAATCTTTAAAATTGGGGATTCCATTCAAACAAAATGAACGAAAGGAAATGTTATAATCATTTAATTTGAATTCCTGTCTAAAACATAAATGCTTTAGCTTTATGTAGATCTATTAATCAATACATTCCCTCTTGTTAGAATTGAGTCGCTTGAATTATTGTTCAAATTGAAATGAATTGAGATTGATAAGGAGTTGGTTGGCATTTTTCATTTCTGAAATGTGTAACGAAGGTATATTAATGCAAATGTTCATCAAGAATGTAAATCATGACCTTAATTGATTTTGATGCATATTCCATAGATCGGAATCAAAAGATGGTACTTATGATTTTGTGTTAAAATGTTTTGTAATTGTAATGAGAATCTTTGGAAATTTCTCTCCCTTTACTTGTAAATAATGCTATACGTTAAGGTGTATATCAATAGACAAATTATCGGGACATTCAAACCCATCTACGCATAAGGATCTAAAAACTATATCGCTAGCCATAGATAAATTTTGTTAAAAAAAATAAAATTGAATTTTAGGTAGGCTTGTCATTATCATCCTAAAACGTTCGTGCACTATGACCTTAGCAGTTTCACTTATCATTATCAACCTTTAATTCATCATTGTTGAGATGGTTCATTTGTTATGAATTGTTATCATCATTTTGAAAAGACACGTACACATTTAAAATTTGAGTCCCATTATTGGTCCATATATGGTTTGAGTTGAAATTCTTACAAAGATATTGAAAATTCTAACAAGCAAAAATATCAATTTTTGGAGTGAAGAATTTCTTATCGAATATAAATTAGATTTAGTCTATATCTTCCTTGCAAGCCTCTCTCATTACTTCTCTTATATATGTATATCTATCTCTTCCTTGCAAGTCTCTCTTACTAATTTTCTTAGTTACGTAAAGGAACATTTTAAAAGATTTCTTGGCACATTTAAATTGGAAATGTTTAATTGTAGCAAGAACCCAGCTCGGCGCTTTTTTGTAGGCGTGCTGCCGATCTCTATGAATTCTGGCCTGCGCTATGTCTGCAGATCTACGGGTTTTTATAATATTTTTCATGGGATAATTTCATAATTATTCTACAGGTCTGTTCGATAGATTTCTATGATTTCTATCTTGAAGAAGAGTTTTATGAAGAAGTTTTATAATATTATTTGTAAACTAATTTCTAAAGAGTTTCATCTTTCGAAGAAGCCTTTAGAAGATGCATTATTGAGCAATCTTTCTCTAAAAACTCTTCAAATCAAAAGAAGCACTTGCGTTAAATTAACGAAACAGACCCAAAAATATTTTCAATCTCAAAATTTTGCTTTTGACTTTTCAAAAGACACGCCAAACAAGCTCCATTTTCTTCAAAAGTTAAAAATGCTTCAATTTTAAAAATTTTTGCTTTATTACCCTATTTTACGCTTTAGTAACTTCTGTGTTACTCAACCATTTTTTATTTTTTATTTTCAACTTTTACTCTTTTACTTTATTTTACATTTTTTAATAAAATATTTCTCACTGTTTTGCTTATTATTATTATTTTTTAAATTATGCTAATTTCATATAAAAATGGTGCATAAGAGATTACATAAAATAATGTGAAAAAAAAATTTGACGAAAAAAGTTCACCGTATTTTAAATTTGGAAATGATAGAGTAACATGTGATATTATGTAACCCATTATATAAAGCTTAATGTACATATAGCAATATCTTCTTCTTCTTTTTTTCCTTTTGTTTTTTAACTGTAATACATTATTTTACTTGTTAATCACATATGTGATAAAATTTAATTTTTTTTTTTTATTATTAACACTTGATTCAAAACTCTAACACCATCTAGTTTGAATATTGTTTCTACTTTGAAAGTGGAGTTAAAATTCTTGAAATAAGAAGAAAGTTTAAAATACTCGAAAATTTGTAGAGAATAATTTTATTGTAATAAATTGGTGATTGAAAAAACATGTACAATACTTTTTTTACACCAATCAGAATTGAACGTGCATTGCACTTTATTTTGAAATAATTTATTAGTGATGTGAAAGTAATATTTGATATCAATTTGTTGGGAGGATTTGATACATCTCAAACGAACTAAAAAATAAAAATTAGGATAGAATTTAAGAGAAGACAACTGTACATTCAAAACTCAACTTCTAATGTTCAATTTTTTGTGATGA